ATTTTGTTTAATTTAGTTACACATATTGAGGACATGTATTCTTTATCAGTGGGTTAAATATCTACCAGTCCTATTGTGATGATAAACTGTAGATTTTTTTGATGATATGTTATTAGAACACCCTTATGTAACAGGCTAAAGGCCTAATACGAATAATAAATATATTTGAATTTAAATTTGAATATTAATAAAATAAAATTGTATTAGTACAATAGGAGCAAAATTTAAATAAAGTAAAATATTTATATTGAATAATTAAAATTAGTCAATGTAAATATTTTGCTTATACTGTATTTCTCTATAAAATTTTCTTTTTACTCTAAAATATCAGTAAAAATAATTTTGAGTTATATAAACTTCTTTTAATAATCTTCATATTTACAAAACTATACTTCCTTAATGATCATTTTTAAAAGTTACTTTCTTTCATTTAAATATTTAAAATTTTGTATCCATGTTTCCAACATGTGGTAAATAATATATATATATATACAGTATATAATTTCTCTGTGTTGAAACCGCGCCTTTTTTTTGTAGACTGTGTTTTGAGACACCATGAAGACATTAAATTTTTTCGCATCCACTTTATTCTCCCATTTCCTTTACAGTCTTTAAACTAATTGTGCCTCTCATCTGTTGGCTAACAACATTTACCAATACAATACGTACCTGTATACAATACAATACGTATTAGTAAATATCTCTTTATAAAATATTTTTAGACATACCTGATATACGTTCTGTACAGCGAATTTTATTCTATTGTCGACGAACACAAAACCAAAACACCACCGTGTATTGTAAATTATTTAAAATTTCTTAAAACTATACAACATTAAATTAATGATAACGATGTTTGTATTTACTTCTCCGTTAAATGTATTTTAAACTAATTTATATAAATACAAGCCGCATAAAAAAACGAAACTCCAGAAGATCAACATTGGAAAAACATTCTACAAAAATCCAGCAACGACTTGCTCAACTTTCCTGGTGACATTTGCTGCCATCATCTGTTATCATATTTTATTAAAAAGTTTTTATATTTTTAACTATTATAAAATGACAAAAAGCTTAATTTTCAGGGTAGGGATGAATTTTATAAGAAATTGTAAATGCCAGTAACCAGTAAAATTATCGCTAAGTCCTTACCTACTGGAGATGCACACGATCATTACTATCTCTCCATTTCCTCGACCTTTAATCACCAAAATTTAATAGCATTAATTGCTCTAATATATAAAACTCTCTGCAAAATTTCAGACATTTTCGACAAAAAGCACGGGAGTTACAGCATTAAGCTTCAAAGAGGATGAATAAAATTGTGCCTCCACCCACTATTAAGCTTCAAAGAGGGTGAATAAAATTGTGCCTCCACCCACATACTAACATCCATACGTACAGAAATTACCTCCGAATTTTTTTGCATTTTTCGACGTTTTAAGGTGTCCTGTGAAAAAATGTAAAAATCTGGGAAGTCATTTTTTGTCGGATCGTCATACTTTCTCTCTGTATAACTGTCGGAAAAGTGAAATGAACTGTAAGGTTAGATTCAAAAGCAATTAATAGATATAAATTACTTTAAAATTCATTTAACGGAGAAGAAAACACTAAGGACGTTATCGTTAATTTAGTGGTGTAGAGTTATGAGAAATTTTAAATAATTTACAGTACACGGTGGTGTTTTTGGTTTTGTGTACGTCGACAATAGAATAAATATCGCTGTAAAGAACGTATATCAGGTATGTCTAAAAAAAATTTTGTAAAGAGATATTTGCTAATATTACCGGTACGTATTGATAAATATTGTTAGCCAACAGATGAGAAGCATAATTAGTTTAAAGACTGTAAAGGAAATGGGAGAATAAAGTGGATGCGAAAAAATCTAATGTCTAATATCAACACTTCATGGTGTCTCAAAACACAATATTATATATATATAGTCTATATAAATTTATATTTCACATTTTCAGTTCCAGTGTCATTATAATTATGTAATATATATGTTACCGCTAAAGCTCGAAAGCCATTAATATGTACATTACCTAGCTAATCTGCAGATTAACTAGGGTGATCTGTTAAAGTTGCGAAAATTGTTCCATTTCTCAAATTACCTAAGTAATGTGCAGAGTATCTAGGTAATCTGCACATTACCTACTAGGCACTCCGTAAAGTGAAAATAAGATCTTTTCCACAAATAAATGTACCACAAACAGGTGTGCTTGTCACAAAAAAGAATTGCTATGTAATTAAAAGTGTCACCAATCTTTAGACTACACTAATAAGTAAGCACAATTGGTTAATGTTACCTATGGTGACTAAAATGGCGGCTTGTCTCTGATTCCAGCAAATAGAAGAAAGAAAACAGTGGGGACGCACGTTCTAACCTAACCTAACCTATTCTAATAATTTTTTGGTAATAATTATGGTAATTTATTAGAATAGGTTAGGTTAGGTTAGAACGTGCGTCCCCACTGTTTCCTTTCTTCGTTTTGCTGGAATCGGAGACGAGCCACCATTTTAGTCACCAAATGTAACATTAACGCACAACTTTATCATGCGATCGCCGGAAAAAGTATGATAACTTTCTTATTTTTCGTCTCTGGTCCAAAAGTAGGGTATCGTTGAACTCGTCTCGGTCCCCTCAGTTCAGATATATACTCAAAGTTTCGAAATTCCATGGATGGTAATCTATATAATACCCCATTTCCCTAATTGTAATAATATTTTAAACCGTTTGATTTTTTTGTATTACAGTTTTTTACTTGATTGATGATTGATTCTATTAACTAATTTGTTGATTGTTTGATTGTATTAACTTGATTTTTTAGATATCGAACATTAAATAAACNTAATTGCAATAAATGATTATTAAAATACTCATAGTTTTATTTCCAAAACCAACATTTACTAATCGTCTTTAGTAAAACCTAGCATGTACCAAATTCTAATGGTAAAAGCCCGGAAAATCATCTCACTTTATAAAAATCCTTACATTTACCAACTCATGTTGGTAAATCCGAAGATTTACAAGTAAAACCTAGGATTTACCAATATACGGGCTTTTACAGTAACATAAGCACCAGACGGAAAAACAAAAAATATCGTGTATCCACAAGCGCTCCAATAAATAAATAGAATTGAAACGACACTTTGAAATATTTTTCCAATGAAAATGAATAATAATAATAATATAATAATAAGTTTCAATAAAAATGATAAAATGTAAATTTCATTTTATCATAACGAGTTTGCTTGAATTTCGTTTCTTCTGAGATCGCAGCAATGCGCGACGGGTAAGCTAGTATTATATATTAAAATATCTGAAATAATTGTTTATTTTATTACTAAGTATTAGGAGGACGGAGAAGTAATACTATTTCTAGATATCCCTAGAAGAAATATCTCTATAGAAGGAAAAAAATATGTATTGAAAAAATAGAATTGAAACGACACTTTGAAATGTTTTCCCAATGAAAATGAATAATAATAATAAGTTTCAATAAAAATGATAAAATGTAAATTTCATTTTATCATAACGAATTTGCTTGAATTTCGTTTCTTCTGAGATCGCAGCAATGCGCGACGAGTAAGCTACTCTATTATAAATGTCATTGAAATATACGTAGTATATAAATAAGTGAAATTAAAATATATTTAGGTTTGAGAATATCAGGAAAAAAGCATTTAAAATTAAAAATTTAGCTTATTCATTTTATTTTATCAAAAAAATTCTACATTAGCGGTAATGCTATTTATTTTCGATATATTTACAACTAAGTGGTTTTATTGTTGCACGCTGACAAAATGTTTTCAATTTCAGAAACATTAACAAATCAATATTATTATTGCTCTCATCATCATAATCATGGTAGTCGTTGATGTCATCATCATCAGAAAAGAATGTCATAAATTCATCCTTCTGTTTTTCCAACATTCGTTGTAAATCTTGTTTTATTTTTTCAATTTTTTTGTTCCTTGTATTCATCCATCTTTCTTCCTTCCTCATTTCTTTGGCCCAGTCTAACAAAGTATAGCTATATTAGTGTCATTAGATCACAATGTAAAAAACTCGAATGGATTAAAGAATATAAATCGACAAACAAATGCTAATTACAGTAAATGTAAACTGAATGAGTTTTACATTATTTGCAGTTTTTATAACGCAGTGTAATTGTTAAGCTTAGTATTTAAATTAATATTATATATTAAGAACTATTTAAATTAATAACCACTCGAATCATTTGGCTAAATATTTACATAAACCATGAAAAGTTCATTAATTTAAATAAATTCTACTTTTTATTATATTGTACTTCTAAAATTAATAAATTCTAATAAAATGTTGAACTTACTATAATTTACATCAATGATCAAGAAAATAAATATATATGAAATTGCTTTCATTTTGAAATCTGAAAATATTAACATTTATAATCTATTTTAAAGTATTTAAAAATTATTAAAAATATTCTTTATCAAATTCAAAAAACAATAAGACAGTTTAAAATTAAATAAAAATAAAAGTTTGTAAATATATTTTATAGAATTATTTATTAATAATCATAATTGAATGATGAATCTATGTGTATCTCTTATATAATATATTTATGTAGATAGTGGGATGCTGGAAGTGGTACCCGGGATCGAATCCTGGCAAGCTACCCCAGAAATGGATAATTTGTTCCAAATATAACGGGTTCCAGCTGCCCCGTTGTAGGAGTATTCGAATTCATAATGGATATAAATAAAGTTCCTCTTGTTGCCTACAGGGTGAAGAGTTAAAATGAAAATTACGAATTGTGTAATTTATGATGAATTAACTTATTTTTAAATATCTTTTTAAAAATGAAATCANACAAATCAATATTATTATTGCTCTCATCATCATAATCATGGTAGTCGTTGATGTCATCATCATCAGAAAAGAATGTCATAAATTCATCCTTCTGTTTTTCCAACATTCGTTGTAAATCTTGTTTTATTTTTTCAATTTTTTTGTTCCTTGTATTCATCCATCTTTCTTCCTTCCTCATTTCTTTGGCCCAGTCTAACAAAGTATAGCTATATTAGTGTCATTAGATCACAATGTAAAAAACTCGAATGGATTAAAGAATATAAATCGACAAACAAATGCTAATTACAGTAAATGTAAACTGAATGAGTTTTACATTATTTGCAGTTTTTATAACGCAGTGTAATTGTTAAGCTTAGTATTTAAATTAATATTATATATTAAGAACTATTTAAATTAATAACCACTCGAATTATTTGGCTAAATATTTACATAAACCATGAAAAGTTCATTAATTTAAATAAATTCTACTTTTTATTATATTGTACTTCTAAAATTAATAAATTCTAATAAAATGTTGAACTTACTATAATTTACATCAATGATCAAGAAAATAAATATATATGAAATTGCTTTCATTTTGAAATCTGAAAATATTAACATTTATAATCTATTTTAAAGTATTTAAAAATTATTAAAAATATTCTTTATCAAATTCAAAAAACAATAAGACAGTTTAAAATTAAATAAAAATAAAAGTTTGTAAATATATTTTATAGAATTATTTATTAATAATCATAATTGAATGATGAATCTATGTGTATCTCTTATATAATATATTTATGTAGATAGTGGGATGCTGGAAGTGGTACCCGGGATCGAATCCTGGCAAGCTACCCCAGAAATGGATAATTTGTTCCAAATATAACGGGTTCCAGCTGCCCCGTTGTAGGAGTAATCGAATTCATAATGGATATAAATAAAGTTCCTCTTGTTGCCTACAGGGTGAAGAGTTAAAATGAAAATTACGAATTGTGTAATTTATGATGATGAATTAACTTATTTTTAAATATCTTTTTAAAAATGAAATCAATGTTTAACACATTACATTATTATTTTTGAAATATTACTCCAAATGAATATTAATTTTACGTGGTTTTTAGTAGATCTGATTTAAAATTTTTAAAGTAAATTTGAGGGGGAAAGTATCATATTTCTTCAATGTAAGAAACAGTGATTATTAATTCTTTGTTTATTCATAAACAAAAAATTTTAATTTTTATAAATAAATTTTATAATTTTTATAATATTAAATTTTTAAACTTTT